GCTCTGGGTATTTTCGTAATTGAACCGAAATTAGGGTAAAATCACTTTATAAGAAGGAGATTAAAAACCCTAATGATGGATGAGACTTTGAGCAGCCGACTTTTGCAATTCTTGGAGAGTTTTTGGTGAGATCCAAAAAGCTCAACAAGTTCTAAGTCTCGTTTTCTCGAAGTGCACAAACCGAATAGAGATTCGAGTCCTAGCAGACAAGTTCCAATCGTTGGAATCCATCCCGTGGTGTGGATACGTGTAGAGGGCGAGGTATTCTTCCTGCCTTTCGTGATCAGACGTGTTCTTCGATTGATACAGGCCCCGGATCGATTGAGGTAAGCGTTCTAACGTTTCTACGATTCATTAGAAGCATGGTTCTAGGGTTTATTAAATTTTTGTTTTATATCCGCTGCGCAAACCCTAGAATCGATCTCTTAGGAATAGGATTCGCTCTAGAGATCCCAGGAATCCCAACATAGAATCCCATATTTCTATGTGAATTAAAACCCTAAGTTCATTCAACCGAGTAGCCAACAAGATCAAAAGAATTAAGAACAATTCAATAAACTGAATGGAATAAATAGATCCACAAAGTCTGGAATTAAAAAAACCAAAGATCCCTACATAGCAAATCTCTAACCTACAGCTCTGGGACTACTCGCTAAACATCGAGTTGACAGGGTTCATATCTATATAACAAAACATCGTAAAATAGAATAAGAAAGAAACTCTTAGTCGATTTCTCGGCTTCTTGATCTTCATCTTCTACTCTGATCTCTTGCTTCCTGATAATTTCCTCCTTTTGGTGTGCTCTAAGTCTATCTTCTGTGAAAAGTCTGAATGTCTCTCCCCTGGGAGGCTAACCCTAGTTAACTTCCTCTCTTCTGCCCTGATTTGGAAATATTCCTGAAAGGTCCCGTAAGTGACACGATCGTGTGAGTCCAGAGGACACGATCGTGTGAGTCTGTTGATTCTAGTGTCTGATTTTTCGCGACTTGACCCGATCGTATGTTGGTACGTGACACGATCGGGTGAGACTTCAAAACTTCTCTTATCTTGGCGAAATGACCCGATCGTGTGTTGGGATGTGACACGATCGGGTGAACTCTCGATCTTATTGTGGTTTTCTGGATGATGAGACACGATCGTGTGAGTACAAATGACACGATCGTGTGTAACGTCATAGCTCGTTCTTTTCCGGGGTTTTTGTCCTTTATTTCGCTCCTATTGCTTGTACCTGCAATTATATACTAACCAAGCAAGAATCAAGGCTAAACACGCAATTGAACATTCCTGATGATGTAAAACTAGATAAATACGTCAGACGAATGCGTGTCGAAGTTGTGTATATTGCGTGTTATCATCATAGGTATTGGATACGATCACAATCATAGGTATTCGTTGGAGAACGGAATACTGAATACCTAGACCAATCGGTTCAGACGTCGGGATTTCCTAAACTCGCTCTAATTAGGGTTTTAAGTGGGATAAACTTTAGGGAACACCTCCTAAGCCTCTTGGCACGACTTTCAGAACCTTTGGGGAGTTTTTGAGAGTGGAAAACCTAAGAGTTAGATCCCTGAAACCCTTGCGCAAAGAAGAACGTGTTCTTCAGTCCTAGCAGATAAGTTCCAACCGTTGGAATCCTTTCCGCCATGTGGATACGTGTAGAGGGTGGCGTATTCTTCTTGTCTTACGTGATCGGACGAACACATCAATTGATACAGGCCCCAGATCGATTGAGGTAAGCGTTCTAACGTCTCTACAAGATCATGCATGATATGTTTTAGGGTTTCATCAAAAGTTTTGTTTTACATCCGCTGCGCAAACCCTATAACCGATCTCTTAGGAATTAGATTCGCTCTTGAGATCTCAGGAAACCCAACAGTGGTATCAGAGCCTGGTTCTCTGTATGATTTTGTTAGAACCCGATCACGCACATTATAGGATTTGAATTGTTTGAATCCGTGTTTGCTTTGATGCTATGCATGATTTGATTGTGGATCTAGAATAGATTTTCTGTTCATTGTTGCATAGTTTGCAAGAACTTCGAATTCTGAGTTCGCAGGCGAAAACCAGGTCGAATTCAGATCTGAAACGGGGCAGAAACGACGAAAACGAGATCTGATCACGTTTTTGCCTAGACCGATCGGTCTGGTTCTCTGGCCCGATCGGTCTAGGGTTTCGTGGGTCGGTTGGACCGACAGGTCTGGACTGTTGGTGTTTCCTGGGATCTCTAGAGCGAATCCTATTCCTAAGAGATCAATTCTAGGGTTTGCGCAGCGGATATAAAACAAAAATTGATAAACCCTAGAACCATGCTGCTATTGAAATCGTAGAAACTCGTTAGAACGCTTACCTCAATCGATCCGGGGCCTGTCTCTATCGATGAATCGTTCTGATCACGAAAGGCAGGAAGATTACCTCGCCCTCTACACGTATCCACACCTCGGGATGGATTCCAACGATTGGAACTTGTCTGCTAGGACTCGAATCTCTATTCAATTTGTGCACCGAGAGATCTCGAGACTTAGAACACGTTTTTGGATCTCCAAAAACTCTCTCCTTTCTGTCAAAAGTCGGATGTTCAAAGTCTCATGCGAATTAGGGTTCTTATCACTTTCTTATAAAGTGATTTAACCCTAATTTCGGTTTAATTTTCGGAAAACCGGAACCCGGAACGGACGGTCCAGAAAAGCACGTGGACCGTCCGTTCCAGCATGTAGAACGAACGGTCTGCCTAAACGTGGACCGTCCGTTCCACCACGTAGAACGGACGGTCTGCGTGCTAA